TAATATTGAATGTCTTCTTCACATCATTAGAAGATACAAACATTGGGATCTTTCCTCTCTTGATACTAGTTTCAACTTGTTCCCCAATCAGAATTAGCTCAGTAAATCCAGATGAAGAGCTTCCAATCAACATATTAAATAATGGGTATGTCGGAGTGCCCATGAACATATCTACCAGCTCCCGGTTAGTCAAGGGAGGTTGCGCTCTTCCATCCAAATCTCTCTATTTTTATGCATACTCCTTGAACCCTTCATTCGAGCCCATGGACATGTTTTGCAAATGTACACGAGTCAGTGCAAGGTCAACATTAAATTGATATTGCTTGTAAAAAGTAGCAGCTAAGTCTTCCCACGTGTGAATGTTGGTTCCTTCCAGCTGATAGAACCATTCAAGTTGAGTGTCGGACAAACTTTCTTAAAAGAAATGGACCCATAATTTCCTGTAAGCAGTATGAGGTTGGATTTTTCGAACATACGATCTCATATGAAGTTTGGGACAAGAGACCCCATCATATTTAGCAAAGATGGGGACCTTGAATTTGTGAGGGATAACCACCCCCGGGATCAAACCTAGTTCTCCAAAATCCAATCCAGGCACTTTCTGGGTTTCAATATCTTTGAGACGATCTTCCAATTGCTTGTATTTGTTATCTACAAGAGGATACTATTCGTCGAAGTAGTCTTCATCTTTAGGAATATTCTCAGAACCCTCATTATTTATAACTTCACCCCTGAAACTTCTACCATCCTCCTCTTTGTTGTCGTCTTCCTCAGAGGCAACATCATCCACTTGAACCGATTGAGCATGACCTTTGAATCTTCTCCCTATATTGAGGATAGAAAAAGGCTTTCTAGTCTTCTTTTTCTTGGAGAGAAGCACCACTATATCATGTTGCCCCTTGGCTAGGTTTAGGAGAGTCTCTTGAAATTGTGCATGCTGAGCTTTGAGTTCTTTAATGGTTTGTTCGAAGGCCATCTTATATTGAAATAAACAATAAGTAAATGAGAAAACCTGTATGAAAAACATGTATGAAAAACCTGTATGAAAAACCTGTTATGTAATGATGCATGATATGTAAGACCTTAGGAGATTTAAATTTGCTAGCCAAGAGGAAACAAAAACAAAGATTTCATTAATAAGTTCAAAATTACAATTTCCTCTTAGGCTTAAAATAAAAACAAAAGGGTCTCAAAGACACAACAATATGAACTTCTAAAACCTAAGACTCAAGTCTCCCACAGACACTTCCTCTTCGTGTTGATGTATGCATTAAGGCTTTGCTCCTCGTGAAGTTTCTTTGTGAGCTCCAAAACTTTCTTTTCACTTGCATAGAATTGAGTTTCAGAGGTGTCCCATTCTTCCTTGAGTTAAATCCAGGACTTCTGCAATTCTTCAAGGTCAGCGGGCATGTCTGGATGGAGGATGGTGAGAGAAACATCTCCTTTGCTAACAGGCTCTATGATCACTGGTAGAACAGTTGGATATGGCATTATGAGGTTTTGAGCGCGGATTTGTACCCATTTAAGGTAGGGATCTAGAGTGATGGAGGAGTTCTTCTGTCCTAAAACCTTACTATCAATTTTGCTTACCATGCCCCAAGCATGTATAAATCTCTAACGATAACCTTGAGGTTCATTTTCATAATCGAACACAATACCCTGGATAAGTGTGTCATGAGGACCATCTCTTCGAGCATAACCAAATTGACATAGAGCCATAGAAGGGTTGTAAGTAATACCTCCCCTAATTCCAAGGAGTGGAACATTAGGGAATTCCCCACAGCGGTCAATGATAGTGATATCCTCATGAGATCGGGAATACCAATAGATGTCTGTATGAGAAAGTGACATTATTCTTTGTGACCACCTCAAACCTTGTTCATTCTTCATTACTGATCGGGGAAGGTGCAAAATAAACCACCTGGATAGCAGAGGTATGCAATACATAAGAGTCCATTGTGTCCTTATAGTACGAGTGTGAAGAGAATGTAAAATATCTCCAAGTAAAGTAGGCACAGGGTTACGAGTGAGAAATATTTTGACGGCATTCACATCTATGAGTTGGTCTATATTAGGGAATAACACCAACCCATAGATTAGAGAAACCAAGATATTTTCAAAATCCTGGAAACTCATAGCATCCAGAAAAAGTTGAGCTTTCTCCATCAAAAATTTATCCAGAAAACCTTTGACTCCACTTCTCGTTTCCCAATTAGATACAATGTCGGACCTCTTCAGATGTAAGGTTGCTTCAATATCTTCTGGTTTCATGGCTTCCTCTAAACTGGTAAATGGTGTCTGGTCAAGAACAAGTACCCCCAATAATTGAGATAATTCCTCCATTGTGGGTACCAAATGATAATCTGGAAATGTGAAGTAATGAAGTACATGGTCAAAGAACTGTAATAGAACACTCATCATGTCTTCGTCAAAACCTGGGGTAACCAGACTGAGTAGTCGACCATGCCTTTTGATGAATGGAGAACTTTCGGGAACCCTTGAGAGTAACACTTTAAGTTGCGGAGGCACCCTTACAAAGTTAATCCAGATAGTGTTTCTACGCGCGAAGGCCATAGCCTGCAAAACAGAACAAAGATAAATCTCTTGGTCCTTGAAATGGTTAGTGAAAATAATATGGTATGATGTCATGATATTATGATGTCATGTTTGAATAATTAATCATACACAAAAAAACACACAAGGCCTTAGGTTTAAGCTTGCATGGAGTTTTTAGGTAAGTACCCTCTTGAGTTTTAGTTGCCTCTAATTGTCCTAATAAAAGTAATTGGGTTCTAGGAGCCTCAATATCACTAATCTTTCTCCCATGCATTGTTTCAGCACAAGAATCTGATTTGCGACCAAAATATCTCGAGAGGCCGATCTCAATGAGTGTAGTATCGAGTATTAACCAACTTTAGTCTCCACCAAAGCTGGATATCTCACTACTTTCTAATGGCTAAGTTGTGTCAACTAAGGTTCTAAGGTCAATTAGTGTTTATCACACCACGTGGCAGCCCAACATTCTCCTTGACTGACTCAAGGGACACTAGCACTAATCAATGTGTCGCAATAACATAGCCATCACTTCAACCGTATCGGTATACACCGTAAAATTTTCACTTTCTATTTCTACTTACCTAAAATGCCCCCAGATCTGGGTATAGGATCAATTTAAGAAATAAACCCAAGCATATTCCGAAATATAAAGAATACAAGGCAAACAATTAAAGCAATAAAAGTGACCTAGCTCTTAAGGTAACCCCACTTTAAGTTTTTTCCCAGCGGAGTCTCCATTTCTATAATACGGTAGGAGAAATGACTTTTTGTTTTTTCATTTTATCGCAAATGTTGCGGATAGTAAGAGTCACCACCGATTTTTCTTTTATCCAATAAAGAAAAGGGTGAAAAGAACAGGAAAGACCTTTTGAGAATTTTTCTGAGTAAGGGGGGTAGGTTATGAAAAGGTAAGGTGTTAGCACCATTTTCATCTGTAGTTATCTATGGACTCTTAATCTATAGCTCATTTTGAAATTCTTTGTGAATGTGTAAGTTAGAAAATATTTTGAAAATGCCTAAGTGCGGTAATTTTGTAATGATTCTCGTATCATTTAGAATGTATACAAAATGTTTGTTTTGAAAATATTTATTGAAAGAAAGTGTTGTTTTTATGAAAAGTTTTTTTGAAAATGCCAATGTATGGCAATTTGTTTTATAATAACCCTTGTATCAGTCCCCAAGAGTGTATATAAAGCGTTTTTTGAAGGTGGTTGTGTTTGAAAGTGTTAGGTGTGAAAATGGTTTTAGTTTGTGAGCAAGCGATTACGAGGGATCTACCTACTCAAAAAGTCCTTGTTCTTTTCCTCCTCCTTTAGATAGTGCTACTTTACTATTAGTTAGTAGGAAGCCCTACGGTTGGTTGTGAGGGACAGGCGCGGGTCATCGTACAGTCATCGAAGGTAACTTGTAGGACATTTTAGTAATTTTCGCAAGGGACTAAGATTGTTTACCTAAGGAAGCATCGAAGGATTATCGAGGGACTACGATCTTTTTAATCGAGGGTCTTTGCTAAAGAGTCCCATGTTCGAGGGACATGACTATTTTATCTGAAGGCAACAAGCGAGGTCACCCTAGATGTGTGCGTGTGACTAGTGTTTCGATTCAATTATTTTATCTTGAGGTTAGGCTTTCTATCGTTTGATTTTAGATCTATCATACACGCCTAACTACTATACAATTATATATACATACAAGCATAGTTATAGGTGTGGAAAGTAAAGTGCGACAAAATAAAATCTACGCTATTACAATGCTTCGGGGATTGGGTTACAAACCATAAAAATGGGAGAAAAGTAAAAGCCTAATTAAACTATTACAAATCGTAAACAATTACAAAAATTGAAAAAAATGCAAAAATAGTAAATTATAAAAAAATAGAAAAGGGAAATGGTTTTGTGAATTTATCAAGTAAGGAAATATGACTAGACAAAATAACTAAAAAAGAATAATTGAGCTAAAATAATATTAAAATTCACAAAGTTATTAAGTTAACATAGAATTAAACTAATTAATTAATTGAAATATTAAAACTAAACTAGTTATTATAAAATAAAATAAAAATAAAGCAGGGAAGTACTAAATATAACATGGGGGTGTGGCTAAAGAAAAGCAGATGGGCTTAAGTTGGTCTTGGTATTAGATCGGGTTGAGGGGAGTACTAAGCCCAAATGAAAGTAATCAAAATGAAATGCCAAAAAAAGGCTTGGGGCGGACCGGGTCGACCCGGATCCAGCGGCCAAACCTCTAAAAGTGGAGGGTTAATAAACCCTAAGAATAAAAATAAACACGGACGCTTGAAAAAAATTAATTGAAAGAGGAACACCCTCCGTCTCTCGCGTTCATTTCTACTTTCGGCGAGACTCCCTCCATTTTCCAAGCAAAACCATGATAAACCTCCCTCTGATTCCACTATCTTCTTCTCACTATTCTGCGCTCGACCATTGATGGGAGCTTCTAATCCCACGGTAACAACATCAATAACCAGACACTAACTTTTGTCTCGGCTTTTGTTCTTAGTTTGAAAATCGGGTTTTGGTGTGGGGGTTCGGGTCTCAGAGTCGACTCGAGTCTGTTTGTAATTTTTGCTTCAACTATTTCAAACTAGGTAAACTCTTCTCACCTTCATTCCTCAATTTTGTTCAAACAGTAAAGAAAAAGTTGGATCTAATGTTCAGTTAAGTATGTTTGACACATGATGTATTTACAAAGTCTTAGGGTTCAAACTTACATAAGCTTATTCAACAGTAAAGCATCAAAAATCACGAGTGAAGACTAAGATAAAAAGAGGTTTGAAGCTTACCGATAGTGCTCCGTGGTTGTTGTCAATGGAATCAGAAACTCGGGAAAATCAACTCAGGTATGCTTTTATGTTTTTGTTGATTATCTTTCACGCTTGTTCTATGTTTTTGGTATTGTTGTGATGTGGTGCAAAATCTAGGTTGCAGAGAGTTAGTGTAGAAAGTTTGGATAGTTGGGTTTCTGATGGGAAAGATTTGAACAGAGGTTTTGATATATGAATCGTTGGTAGATGATGTAGTGAATCGCGCAGAGGTTCAATATTGTTTTTGTATTCATTTGTGAAGAATGGTTTGGATCTCTATATTAAGGGAGGATGAGGAAATTTTAAGTAGAGTATTGATATTTTTCCTGATCTTTTTTCACTGTATTTTTGGTATCTTTCTGCGTTTATTGCTACCTTTCTTATAGTGAAATGAGGATGAGTTTTGGGGGGAATATTTGGTAAGTTTTGAACAAAATTGGTTAGCTTCTTCAATACTTTGTTTGCTGCAGTTTTTGTATTGCCATTTTGGTGTGAACTTGACAAGTTTTTAGACTGATATAATGCAGGGGCAACAACATGCAGGTTTTGTGTAAAGTTTGTGCAGGGACTGTTTTGGTTAGTTTGGAGAAGGAAAAGCAAGGGGCAGCAGGTTGTTTTGGCAGTTTATTTAGAGTTTGGACATTAATGCTTTTTTTGGACAGCAAGAGTTTGTATTGGAGGATAAAGTTAGGTTATTAGGTTTTAGGTTTAGTAACTTTGTAAGAAACATGATTCAAAGCATGATAGTGGCTTAATGTCTTTTGTAATGCTTGTATTTGGCAAAGTTTTGTAGCCATGGAGCAAAATGTTATGGATTTTGGTTTATGTTAAGACAAGTTTGGTAAATGGTCATGAATGATATATTTTAAATGAATATGAAATCTTGAATGATTTTGTGAAGAAAACTTTGAATCCAAATAAATCTTAAACCCTTGATATCTTGAGCTTGCATCATAAAATGATGAACTTGGAATGATGAATGGACATGAATATTTGAACGTCTTGAATTTTGAATGAGCTTTTGAATTTATAATGAACTTGAATAATGAATGAGCTCTTGGAAATGAATCCTTGAAACAAATTATGACATTATTCTTGAATTTAGATTAAATGGTACTTTGGTTGTTTACTTTGAAGGATCAATATTTGAACTTGCATAAATCACTTGAATGAACTTGAGCTTTGTATCTTGACTTCTAATTAATTCACTCGTATCATCTTCCAACCTTTAATCTTAAATCATATTCTTGAACAAATTAAATGCCTTAAGAACTTTAATAAAAAATCCAATCCAATAATCATTAATGCTCAAACACAAGTGACTTGAATTTTGAGCAACAAACGACCAATGAATCTTCAAACTCAACTTGTTGCGTCATGATTTATCTCAACGTAAGAATCAAGTGCATTGGAAAAATGCTTATGACATGAATTGATATTAGAAGTTAAGAACATTCTAAATCAAGAAAATGACCTATGACGATTCGATAACTTTCAAGGTCTTCTAAACACAATTTTCCTTCAATCCTTGAACAGAACTCGTAGATGACATTTCTTACGACAACATGCAAAAAGAATCGTCCCAAAATGCTGAATATTATAGAAGTTGCGATCCTTGGAAGTCAGGCAACAAAAAACTTGAAATTAGGTTAAAGCCCACAAAGCGACCTCTAAAGTATTCGAATCTTTGATGATCTTTCGCACATAATCAGCTCTTGACTTGTAAATAGAAATAAGAGATGACATCAAGGAGAGTCATACGCAAAGAGAAACACTCAAAAATATTGAATAATAAAGAAGTTATGATCGTTTAAACTTGATCTTGAAAATGTTGACTTTTACCCAATACAGTTGATTTTCGGTCATCCGATCAATTGATTGAGCAAACTTGTGATGCAAGGAGTGAAATTTGATATGAGCATTCTTGAATACATATGAAGCACAATGGAAGCCACTTGAGACCTTGGAAACCCAATCTTGCTTGAGAAATACCAAACCCTAGTTGTGGACCCATTGCTTAGGAGGAGAATTTATCTGATCAATTCTTGAGTCACCTTGAGCATTTGAGAACCCTAGGAGAATATCTTGAATGAAAAATGGGAGGGAAAATTTTGGGGTACAACAAGTTTTATCACAAATGCTACAGATAGCAAGAGTCTCCACCGACTTTTCTTTTATCCAATAAAGAAAAGGGTGAAAAGAACAGGAAAGACCTTTGAGAATTTTTCTGAGTAAGGGAGTAGGTTATGAAAAGGGAAGGTGTTAGCACCCTTTTCCTCCGTAGTTATCTACGGGCTCTTAGTCGCTAGTTCAATTTTGAAAATGCTTTGTGAATGTGTAAGTTTGAAAATATTTTGAAAATTCCTAAGTTTGGAAAACTTTATAATGATTCTCGTATCGTTGAGATCACATACAAAGTGTTTGTTTTTAAAATATTTAGAAGAGTTCGTGTGAAAAAATGTTTTTGTTTATGAGCAAGCGACTACGAGCTATCTACCTACTCAAAAGTATTTCACGTTATTTTCATATTCCTTTAGATAGTGATATCCTACCATTAGTTAGTAGGAAGCCCTATAATTAGATATGTGAGGGACATGCGCGAGTCATCGTACAGTCATAAAAGCAACTCGTAGGGCACTTTAGCAATTTTATCGTAAGGGACTAAGATAGTTTACCGAGGCAACATCAAAGGGTCATCATGGGACTACGATATTTTAACCGAGGGTATTTTGCTAAAATGTCTCACGTTCGAGGGACATGACTATTTTATCCGAAGGCAACAAGTGAGATCATCCTAGAGGTGCATGTGTGAGAAGTGATTTGATTTCATTTAATTTTAATCTTTGATTAGGGTTATCTATTGTTTATTTTTAGTCTTTTCATACAACCATATTAGCATATATCTAGCAGAGTTATAAGGAAAGTGGTAAAGACAGAAAATAAATTTCCTAGGCTATTACAAAGCTTCGGGGAAGGGGGATACAAACCATAAAATTTAGGGGAAATAGAAAGCAAAATAAAAACATATTTATTCTATTACAACCTTTAGAAGTTACATAGTTATAATAAAATTAATGCGAAAATAATAAAAACGTGAAGATTGCAAGAAGAAACGGGGAGTTTATTTGATGGAAAAAATAGATGATTAATTGTTTTTTTTTTATTTTAGAAAAGGGAATTAAAACCTCATAAAAACCTAAACCAAATAATAATAATATATTATAAAATGAGTGCTAATATTAGAAAAACAGAAAACACACGCGCATGGTGGTTCCTGATATTTTGAATGGGCCAATCATAATGCTCCAACCTACCACACATACAACCAGAATAGTCAAACCACCGCCTGTGGTGGTTACCACCGTCTTCTTAGATGATAAGATTTTGGAACCTGCGAAATACACAAAATCAAAGTAGACAAAAACATATTATCTCCCTAAAATTTCCTCCTGAGTTTGAATATGGGGTCCGTTTGAGCTAAAAGTCACTGTGTCATAGGTTTTGAATGAAAAACCCTAGCGCAGTTCAAAAATGGTGAACCAAGGTTTTAACATTGTCAACTCCATGCGATGGTTGAAATCTGCTCTAAACATTCATATGAACTGATCTAGATGATTAGAAAGACCAACAATGCATAATATTAAAAATATGATAAGTAGAAAAATGCAATCGAAGATGACGAACATGGTCGTTTCAAGCATGGGAAACCTTTGAAAACTGACTATACTTACTCTGTAGATATTCAGGAAGTGAATGGTATTGAGGGTTTGGAGTCAGAGTGCTTATAACACAAGTTTTTTAAAACATAGGTTTTTTTTGTTGAGAAAATGGTGAGAATTGGCAAGCTCTTAGAGGCAAGGATGCGTGTTACTTTGCTTCTGATCTTGTTGTGTATATATAGAGGGATGGAAATAATCAATAAATATGGCAAGGAGACCAAGCAATAATGGCCATGAGACAAGAAACCAACACCCTTATAACCTTCCATTTTTGATATTTTTCTTGCCATTTTTAAGTTCACACAGTTTTGGCATATTCTTCATGTGTTCTTGGGCCTCCATATGATTGAAATTCAAAGCCCACGGACCTTGGCCCAATGCTTTTGTATTTCATTTTATTTAATTTCATTTAAATGAATAAAAATTAAAATAAAATAAACAAAAATAATGAAAAATAAGTGCATGGATTTAGAGGTCCTCTAACACATTGTTAACATGTTTGAACATCAAAAGTTAGGCCCACTAGTTCAAAATTTCAAGTTTGCTCACTTTGCACTTCATGGACTTTTTTGAGATCTTGGACTTTTTTGAGATCTTGGACTTTTTTGAGATCTCAAGATGTCTTCGACAATCTCTCTTTTGATCATTTTTGCATTTGGAGACTTTATCTTGATGTAAGTTGCCTTGACAAAAAGTGTGCTTTTGTTGATTTTTGAAATGCCATGTAATGTATTGGCTCACATCCCTCAAATGAAGCACTTTTTCGACTTGAGCTTAAATACAAATTTGTAGAGAATAGAATTTCCTTCAAAATAGACTTTTGTTAGGAAAAAATTGATGAAGCATTTGAAAGTTATGCTTGGTCAAAGTTCAGTTGACTTCTCCTAAGGAAACCCTAATTTGGCAAATTTTTACTTTTGATGATTTGAGGGCTTCTCTTGAGGAATCATGATCAAACATTGATAAAATGATGAATATAACTTCAAAATGTAGATGTTGACCAAAATCTTGAAGTTTGACTATATGTTGACCATAGTTGACTTTTTACCCAATACAATTGGTTTTCAATCATCTGAGCCATTGACTGAGCATACATGTGATGCAAGGCTTGAAACTTGATATGAGCATCACTGAAGACATATGAAGAACCATGGAAACCACTTAAGACCTTTGAAACCCGATATTCTTTGAGAAATACAAAACCCTAGTTGTAGACGCATTGCTTAGGAGAAATATTTGTTTGATCAACTCTTGAGCTATCTTCAGCAAATGAGGACCTTATGAGAATATTTTTTTAAAGAAAATGGGAGGGAAATTTTGGGGTACAATAAATGCCCCTGTTCAATCTTCTTAAACCTGAAGAGTTAAATTGACATGTCTTCCATTTGCAACTTAAAGGTAGAAGAGGATTGAACACTTAAGTGCCCAAAAATTTGCACTCGCCTGTGCAAAAAGTAACGTTGTTGGTTGATTGTACTGGGAATGAGCTTAAAGATGCCGTTTGAAGTGTTTAAGAAGAGTCATCGGAGATGGTATTAAGATTCCATCCAAAGTGAATATCGATAGAAGTATCAAAAGAAGTCTACGCTTAACTGCATCTGAGGAATGCTTTTCAGGATGAACCTATTCGATCTTGCTTGAAGGAGTTGCTTTTCAGAATGAATTTTTGAAGGAAAGTGATTTTCAGAATGAATATCCTGAAGGGGAGTGTTCGTCATGTAGATAGTCTCCCTATCCTATTTTGGGAATTCATACCGCTGGTGATAAAGATAGTCGCCATGTCCTGTTTTGGGAATTGATCTTTATCTGACCATAAAGAAAGAGACATAGTTTCCCCATCCTGTTTCGGAAGTTAATATTTGATCTGTTCATGTAGATAGTCGCTCCGTCCTGTTTCGGGAATTGATCTATAATCAGTTTGTTGGCAAACCCATCCTGTTTAAGGAGTTCATACCGTTGGTGATAAAGATAGTCGCCCCG